CCAGGGCTGGGGGAGGGGCTGGAGGGGGCTGGGGAGGGGGCCAGGGCTGGGGGAGGGGCTGGAGGGGGCTGTTGGGGTGCCAGGGGCTAGAGGAGGGATGGGAGAGTCAATGGGCTGTGAGCAGAGCAGGGACTTGGGGTTTTGCTGTACGGGATGGGAAGACAGGGGCTGGGGGCGGCAGGCTTGGGGAACCTCATACACCCCCCCCTACCCTGCCCTAGGCCCCCCAGGGCCCCTGGGAGGAAGGAGCCCTGGCGGACCTCGCAGTCTATACGGCCGCCTGTCTGGAAGAGGCTGGCTTTGCCGGGACCCAGGCGACGGCGCTCAGCCTGACCTCAGTCCTGGAGGCTCGTGGGCAGCGACTGGAGGACCAGGTCAGCCGCTGCCCGAACCCTGAGGGTCCCGGCCAGGGGGCAGGTGGGCTGCTGGCTGAGGGCCCCTTCCAGGGCGTGGGCCTGGTCACTGATGTCTTCCTCTCCCCCAGGTGCATGCCCTGGTGCGCGGACTGCTGGCACAAGTGCCCAGCCTGGCAGAGGGGAGGCCCCGGCGCGCAGCCCTGCGGGTGCTGAGTGCACTGGCCCTGGAGCACGCGCGGGACGTGGTGTGCGCACTGCTGCCGCGCTCACTGCCCCTGGACTGGTAACCCGCACGCACGCACGCACGCCATCCCTGCGGCTGCATGCGGCCCAGCCGCTTCCTTCCCCCTTCCCGCTTGGCTGTCAGACCTCCGGCTAGGAGCCAGGGAGCCCAATCCCTCCCCTCCCCTAGGCTAGCCCCGCCCCTCCCGGCCTCCCACCTCGCCTTGGGGTTGCCAAGAGACCAGCCTGGGCAGGGCAGGGCAGCTTTGGTGTTGGATGCTTTGGGCTCTGGTTAAATGTCCTAGAAGTTATCTTCGCTTTAATTCTCTACAGTGATTCCCCCCCCCCCCCCCCCGGGCCCTTTGCCCCAGGGCTTGCTAGTTGGCCATGAGCTTTTTTGCTCAAGACTAGTGCCCTACGGCTTGAGCCACAGCTCCATTTCTGGTGTTTTGGTTTTGGTTTCCTGGTGGCTAATTGGAGATAAGAGTTCCACAGACTTTCCTGTCCCGTCTGGCTTTGAACTGGATCCTCAGATCTCATAGGTGTGAGCCATGGGCTCCCCGCTGATGTTTTTAATGCCAGTTCTCTGACCCAGTTCTCTGGGTGCAGAGTGCCTTCCACGTGGACCCTGCTCTGTATCTGCCACCGTTGCCTCTGGTTTTCTGTGTGACTTGGGCCAGGGAAGCTCACAGTGTGGTTTACCTGTCCTTCCTCTTGTTAGTGTGTGGGGGCCGTCTTGGCTTCTCCCGGGCCCTGCAAGTGCTGTGCCTCACGCGGCCTGTGCGTCCCCTCTCTGCCCCCAGGGCGGCTGCTGAGCTGTGGCGCAGCCTAAGCCGGAATCAGCGCGTGAACGGGCCCGTGCTGGTGCAACTTCTGTGGGCGCTGAAGGGCGTGGCAGGGGCGGAGCCTGAGGCACTGGCGGTGAGTGGCGGGGCGGGGCCTGGGCGGGGCGGGGCCCCCGCCAGGGTGCCGGTGAGTCAGGCCTCAGGTTGGAGATGGCGGGCATGCGCATTAGTCGTGCACTCGCGGACTTGGTGGCTGCCCGCCGCTCCGGGGCCTCAGGCGGCACCAGGCACAGCTTTTTAACACCTGCCCCCAGGCCACGCGTGCCCTCGGGGAGATGCTGGCGGTGTCTGGCTGCGTGGGAGCCACGCGAGGCTTCTACCCACACCTGCTGCTGGCGCTGGTCACGCAGCTGCACGAGCTGGCCCGCGGCGCCCGCTCCCCGGACAGCCCGGGCCGCCGGGGACCGCCCCACAGCCACGCCAGGTGAGAGGCACCCCGGCGGCGGGGCTGCCCGGCCCGGCCGCAGGGCTCTGACCCGGCGCCGCCCCTCCAGCTGCACGGTGGAGGCCCTGAAGGCCCTGCTCGCGGGGGACGGGGCCCGCATGGTGGTCACCTGCATGGAGCAGGCCGGGGGCTGGCGGAGACTGGCGGGAGCACACACCCACCTGGAGGGCGTCCTGCTGCTGGCCAGGTGAGGGCCGCGAGCCGGGAAGGCCGGGGCGGCGGGGGCCGGGAGCAGCCCTGGGCGGAGGGCGACCTCTCCCTCGCCCACCCAGCGCCATGGTCGCCCACGCGGACCACCACCTTCGCGGCCTCTTCGCGGACCTGCTGCCCCGGCTGCGAAGCCCCGACAGCGCCCAGCGGCTCACAGCCATGGCCTTCTTCACCGGGGTGAGGCCCTCTCCCGGGAGCCGAGCGAGGGGTGTCCGTGTCCGGGACGCTGCGCGGGGCCGGCCTGCGGGGATCGGCGGCGTGCGCTGACTCGGTGTCCCCGCCAGCTGCTGCAGAGCTGGCCTACGGCGCGGCTCCTGCGGGCCGACCTCATCCTGGAGCGGCTTCGCGCGTGGCAGGGGGACCCGGAGCCCACCGTGCGCTGGCTGGGCCTGCTGGGCCTGGGCCACTTCGCCCTCAACCGCGGGAAGGTGTGGACGGGGCCGGGTGGGGTGGGGCCGGGGTGGAGAGGGGCGGGGCGG